ACTTGAGGTTCCTAAAGTCCTTTTAGAAGTAGGTGACGAAAAATCTTAAATGAGTAATGATAGAGGTGTTTATTAGTTTTGCCAGAAACCATCGAATAAATAATGATATGTATTCATTATCTTACAAATGAAAAGAATAAAAATTTCAATACTTTAAACATAATTTCCACCCACATCTATCCTGAGACTTCTCTTTCTGGTTTAAGTACTTAAGGGAAATGTTCAGGGCCATTCTGTGGGGATGGTTTGAACAGCTTTGCAAGTAGCACAGGCATCATTACCCCACCCCCACTGCCCTTCTTACCTCTTTGCTTACCATCAAAGCTGGTATTTATTAGATAAGGTAATAAAATGGTAAATGACTGAATATATGATTTTTACATAGAGTGATTCAACAGGAAAATTACTTTGTTTTTCCTCTCCTTTCTTCAACAGCCACATCCTGAGCACAGCCTCTGCAGCTGTCACTATATAAAGAACACAAAGATTTAAGTTAGTTCTTGCCCAAAAGAAGCACACCATCTACTTACACTTTTTAAAAAAAAAAAAACACACAAAATGACAATTTCTTTTAAAAATGGGAACTATCCATTCAACTCTGACTTAAGTAAAAGAGCTCCCACAGAGAAATCACAGAAAGACATTTATGGTCAGCCATTAAATTACTTACATCCTTGCTAACCTGGACCACTCACTCACCTGGCTGGGAAATGGAGATGGAATTATGACAAGGAGGAGCTACTTTTGCAGGTACAGAATTCAAACAAAATATTTTTGTTTTGACTACAAATCTGCTTTATTATTTTATTTGAAAAGCAAAAGATGGTATATATTCTCAGAAATGTAACCTATTATGGAATGGTTCTCAACCTGGGGTGTTCCCCCTCCTTCCATCCACTCAGCATTTAGCAATGTCTGGAGAAAGTTTGGTTATCATAACTACTGGCATCTACTGGTGCTACTGGCATCTAGTGAATTTAGGCCTGGGATGGATGACTCAACATTTTCCAAAGCACAGGGCAGCCTCCACAACAAAGAATTACCTGGCCCAAAATGTTGAAAGTGCCTAGGTTGAGAAACCTTTCTATAAAGGAAGATTTTCCTGTCCTCATCAAATTTGCTGAGTTTTGTAGTTCTCACCCTAACCTGCAAACCATCACTATAGGTCAGGTTAAGTTGGCAAGGTGCTCCAAGCTTAAGCCAGCTTAATTCATATAGAGAATCAATTATGGCCGAAGTTAGAGAGCATTTACCCATAAGTTCTATTTGTAAGGGCTCCATGACCAACTCCTTCAGGAATTACAAAGTACTCTCATTAGCTCTTTCCATTATGCCCCGGGAGTGGTCTTGCCTAAAATTTCTCATGCTTAGACAATAATAGCATGAAAGCAGTATTCGTGTTTACGCACTATCAGAAAAAAATGTGAATTCATATTCTAATTTTTTCCATAATAACAATCTCATTTCCACTGCCAAATAAAAAATCAAGCTTATAAAACTAAGGAAGCTTAAGAATCTTCCTTATAACTTTACCCTTCCAACACCCCTTAGGTCACAGGGCATGAAAAACACGTGTGTGAGCCAATCTAGAGTGTGGCATACTCAGTTATCATAATCAGGATCCAACTTTCTCCTTCCAAACTACCTCCATACTGGTTATCCCATTTATTCAACCATTAGAAGTTGAGCTTTGAAAACAAAGGTCCTTGATTCAAAAGGAAGCAGTAATTCATTCCAATGTCAGTTCCTAAAAACTCGGACCAAAGGAGCATCCTGCAACACCCACTCCAACCCTCAACATGTGAAAAAAGTTCAAATAATGCTGCTACCTATTCTGGATACTCAAAAAAAAAAAAAAAAATCCACTAAGGAATTACGTGCAGTCTGAGCTGGGATGCTTTTCTTTCTTTCATTTTGTTGTTTTTGTTTTCCCTCAGAAGGAGCCAAGACTGCCAGAATTTAAGTCTCTGCTTGGAAGAAATCTAGGACCTCAAAGGCAAATCCCGGAAACCCTATAAAATCCTCTCAGATACATGCCCTTAGAAAGGTTGAGGGGGAAAAAAGTCATAAAAGCTTTTAAAATCATTTTCCTCCCTAGTCAGAAACAGCAAAAGTACCCATAGTTATAGAAGCTGCCCCACTCAGTATTCTCACACTCGCTTTAAATGATAGTGATGTACATACAAATAATCTCATAGTGCATGCATCGGTTTAGTTATATGCTTCCTTCCGATGAGTTTCGTGAGTTAAGTGCTTTGTGATCAGTGAACGGAAGTTAAGATAAAAACTGGAAATAAGGAAAATAAACTCTTTGCCTTTAAACAGCAATGGTTCCAGTTTCCTTTTACAAGCCTGAAGGGTTGATGCACATATTAAAACTGCTGCATAGCTCCATCCCAGGTCACAGAAATTCCCCCTACTTCTTCTCCCCTCCTCACTGAAGATGTCAGATCTCTGGGAAACAGCAGTTACAAAAGAATGCTTTCCATAGCTTGTCCTAGAAAACCCGGACACCCCATCTCTGCATAAAACAGCACTAAACGGAGTTCCAATGCCAGAAGCTGTGCCTTCTCCTTCTCTTCAATGGGATCTAGATCATTTCTAGAGAAAATAATAAAGACCGCATAGTTTTGCCCATGTGTACGACATGTCGATTCTTCTAATCCCCCGTTTGCCCTAGATAATTTTAAGCTTTATCCATCCGTGTACCACGCGAGAAAGAAAAAACGCAGTTAACTAGACGACAGTGTTATCTAGGTATCTGGCATCAATATTAGCAAAAGTCTGTCATTTGACAATTATTTCCCTAGCATACCAGACGGTAAAGAAAATGTTTTCATTCATCCGCAAATGACTAACATTTTATTGATGTTTCCAAATGCGGTTGAATACGATCACACTCTCAATTTCCTAGCCCGGTTTGAGAGTTAAGCTTGAATACTAACAACATCAGTCACTCCTGCTGCAAACGTTTCGGTTAATTGGCGAACCTTGGAGGGTCCGTTCAGCAGGGAGGTGACGCTGGTTAGGGGCTTTTCGATCAGTCAGTCTGGGTGGTCACAGGTGATGGGAACCCTTCCCTTTCGCCATATATCCTCCTGCACGGCGATAAAAATCACTCTGAGCACCGCTACCGCAAAGCAAAACGACTCCCTGCCTGCCTCGTAAAGAGCTTAGTCTGGGGAGGCAGCCGGATGCTGACCCCTGCAGAGATTATTGCTTCTGTGCGCTTTGCCAAAGGATCCTGCTGGCATTATGGAAAACCAGTTAGGGTTGTGCGAGGTTTTGCTTTATTTCCTCCAAGGGAAGAAGGACTGGGGTCAGGCGAGGAAAATCTTCAAAAGACTGCTTAAGGAGGATAGGGGTGGAGGGCTGGAAGAACGGGGTGGGGGGGGGTGCGTTGTGAGCGTATTTTTTTAATTACTTGTTTCTTTCCTTCACTTCCCCGCTCTGCTTCCCAAACTCCTCGCTGAAGGAGATTGATTGGCGTAACTGTTATTGACTCCAGCTTTGGTTCTCGCATTGATCTGCAAATGGCCCGGAAAAGCTAAAGGATGTTGAATCTGGAAATGAGTTCAAGAAGGGAAGAAGCGGAAAAGAGGAGCGGGCGGGCCGCCCCTGGCCCCGCACCCTATTCTGCCGTGGGCCAGGACAGCGGCGCGCAGCTGCGGGGCGGGCGGCTCAGGGGCTGCGGCGTGGGAAGGGGCGGGGGGAGCCGCTTTCACCGCCGAGGAGGAAGCCTGTCCAACCTGGTTTGGAGGCTGTTAAAAAAAAAAAATAGAACCCCGTGACTCGTTAAACCTGATAACTTTGCCCTGCCTAGATTCGGATGTGCTGATCATTCTGCCTGATAGGCTCAAACGGGTTAAACTGCCTCTTACATAACAGGACTGCCCGGCTCTACACAATTAAAACCCTTGATTGCAGTATCTTTCCGACTCTGCATCCCGGCACGACCCAGCCCGTCCCTCCCAGGGCGCCTGCGTGCCGCGCGCGCACAGCCCCGCGCGCACCACTCGCACGTGCGCGCGCATACTACACACCCTCAAAACACACGTCCGCACACACTCCACTTTGACCATACCTCACACATACACGATTTAGTGTCAACACACACGGGGGCGTGGGGGCTCCAATCCATACTGGCTGACCCAATAGACACGCCAGCTGCTGTACCGCCAGGCCTTGCATGCACCATCACGTCCCCTCCAGAAGCAGTCCCCCGCCACCGTCCCTACCTATTTCCGAAAAGAGGTAAAGAGTGAACTAGTTGGCCGCTTGTCAACTGTAGCGCGGCCGCCCAGGCGAGATTGGAAAAAAATATAAACAACAAAACCTCACAGTCCCCGCGTCATGATGGCGCCGACCACAACTTGGGGGACTTTAAAGTTACGGTGCCTCAAGAGGTAAAAGGCACCGGAGAGGGAAGGCAAAACGCCCCTCTGCTCTCTTTTCCTCACCCCGACACAGAGACTTTTCTAGCAAAGCATCACTCTAGTGCATATGACAGGAAGGGAAGCTTTCTGTCTACGCTGCATCTCTGTTCCCCTCAGTTTGCATAATTGTGATATACCTCCTCCGGTTTTTGTGGGGTTTTTTTTCCGTTTTCTTTCTTTTTTTTCCCCCTTCATTCTCCCCCTCCCCCCCGCTGCATCCCCAGTCCCCGGGCGGGGTTGCTAAGGAAACGGCCGCTTGGCAACGCGCGCGAGCTCGGGGGCCGCCGGCCGCCACTGCGCCCCGCGCCGCCGCTGCGATTGCAGCCGCCGCCGCCGCCCGCCTCCTCCCGCACTCGCCGGCGCGCTCGCCGCCTCGCTAGATGGTGTGCGAGCCGCCGAGAATTAGACACACTCCGGACTCGGCCAAAAGCAGCCGAGAGGAGGTGTAGTGTGGTGCCAGGGGGTGGGAGGGGAGGGAGGGAGGGAAAGCGAAGAGGAGGAGGAGGGGAGGCAAAAAAGAGAGAAACAACACCAACAACTACAGGGGGAAAAACAGAAAGAAAAGAAACCCACCCACCCACCAAAAAAAAAAAAAAAAAAAAAAGAGAGAGAGAGAGAAAGAAAAAAAAATTCTGTGGCGCGCCGCCTGGTTCCCGGGAAGATTCGCCAGCACCAGGGGGTGGGGGAGTGCGAGCTGAAAGCTGCTGGAGAGTGAGCAGCCCTAGCAGGGATGGACATGATGCTGTTGGTGCAGGGTGCTTGTTGCTCGAACCAGTGGCTGGCGGCGGTGCTCCTCAGCCTGTGCTGCCTGCTACCCTCCTGCCTCCCGGCTGGACAGAGTGTGGACTTCCCCTGGGCGGCCGTGGACAACATGATGGTCAGAAAAGGGGACACGGCGGTGCTTAGGTAGGAAGAACGGCGTGCTTTTCGTACTTGTCTCAGTCTATCTTTCTGTCTCTTTCCACCCTTCTTGACTCTTTTTAAACCCAGTAATAATGCTGGTGGTGATCACCATCAAAACATCTCAAGAAATGCAGGTACTGGTTGTGCCCGGAGCCCTGGCCCCTGCACGCTGGGGCAGGTAGCAAGCTGGACTCGTGATGCTAAAGCACTTTGCTGGAACGCCAGGAGCCCGGGAATGAGTGAAGCGTGAGGTTTAGGAGGGGCAGGTGCCACTTTGAAACTCAGTTCACTGGGTCTCTGTTTTACTGTCATGGGATACTCTTGGAGAGTCTGACAAGTTTATCAGGTTTGTTTCTATTTTACGCGAGCCTCAGCCACTTTTTCAAACTGCTGGCTGCCTGCTCCCATTTGTTTTCCCTCTCACTTGGACACATAGCTCAGTTTCTCCCTCCTCAGCTTTCTTTCCTCTTACCGCCTTCTCCCTTCTCTCTTTTCTCCCTCCTCTTTATCTTTTCCCATTTCCCCACTTCCTTCTTATGCTCCTTTCCCTCTATTGCCTTTTTTCATCCTTTTTCTGTTTGCTCTCGCTTCTTGTCTCTTTTCTCCTTTTTTATCTCCACCACTCTAATTACTGATCCTCTGATTAAACCCCATTGCCTCCACTCTCCACCTTTTCCCGTTCTGTTCCTCATTAATGCCCCTGTTCTGCGATGTTGTCTTCCCTTGTTTGACTCACGTTTCCCATCCCTCTCTCCAAATCCTTTCCATCGCTGTCACTCACACATGCCTGTTCCCTCTAACCCCTTCCAGTACCATATTCTCACTCTCACAAATCTCTTCTTAAACACATTCCCTCACATACTCTCAATTTCACATGCTCACACACACTGACACTTCCGTGCTCTAACAACCACTTTCGTATTCAGGATCTCTTTGCTGTTTAAAAGGCACATACTCCTTCACTGTTCCACACTGTGTCACTCACATATGTGTACACACCATCTCTCTCTCCGCTTTCTCTATCCCCTCTTCCTTCCCTCCTTCCACTTCAGTTTTACTTCTTTTTTCTCACTCTCCCTTCTTCCCTTCTTTTCCCTAAGCTTGAGCATTGAAATGTTTTGGAGATCCATAGTCTGATTTTTCCCCTAAGCCACACTGCAGAGTGAGCTCTTGGAAACGTTTTCTCTCCTGTGAAAATGTAAATTGATGATCAGCAGTGTTTACTTCTAAACAAGGCTAAATGCCCTTATTCCTTCATTTCCCATCGCCCTCCCTTCTCCCCCTAACACCCCACCTGACATACACCTCAAATCTCCTTAAAGATCTTCTTTCTTTCTTTCTCTCCACTGGGTGGTAGTTGCCTTATATGTGTTTGAATTGCACAAAATCAGTGTACATGGCATGTGTAAGGTGAAAGAGAGTGGGATATGTTTCTGTTTGAATCATGCAACATATTTTAAATTTAATGATCTGCGATCTGGGTGTGGTACCTGATTTACACCTTCTGAGACAAGCTTATGAGTCCAAGTTGGCATGGAATACTGTTGTAGCTTCTAATATACACTAATAGCATGCTTTTATAATATATGTTGTTATCTTTGCCATAAACACAGAATGCCACTGGATGTATACAAAAGTAACAATTTGTTGTAACTTAGTAAAATAGCTTTTCATTGCTGGTAAAAGCAATGAACTCTGGGTCACACAGAGGATATAAACTCATATGTATGTTCTTTAGATTAAGTTTGTTTTGGGAGTTTGAGCAATGGTGAGGAGGAAACATTATTTTCAGGAGCTGCAAACACACATCAGGGGAGCTGCAATCTATACGTTTATAGCAGCATATTGCTTATTTGTAATGAGCATTAACATTTGTCTTTTGATGATGTATCTTGGCATTTTGTTTCCAATGAGCAATCTAATAAATACTGTGGCTAATTTAAAGAGCTGGACCCACATTTTGCTTCTAGGAGAGCTGTGTTTGGTTAACTCATTGCTTGCAATAGTGAAGCTCCTCTCACTAGAGAGGACAGTATCTTTCCAGTGTTGTTGGTTTGGCGCAGTTCTTGTTTACTTGTGTGCACTGTACCTCATCCATTTATATGCTATATCCTGAGTTGTGTAATATTTTAGAGAACTTTTGACTTTTAAACTTCTTAAAAAGAATAGAATCTCTGTCTCTTCCGAATGATGTTTCTAACGAATTGCAGTGGTTTTTTCTTCTTTTGTTAACAGAATCATTTTGGTCAAATGAAACAGAAATCTGATGTGCATTACTTTTTACCCAAAGTAATTTGCTTATGGTACTTCTAGAATTCTCTAGGGAGTAACCCATTTTTTACCTTTTTGCATTGTCCATAGGTTTTAAACTATTTTAACATAGGCATTTTCAAGAAATGCTCTCTGTGTTAAGAAAACAAAAATCAAAAAAAAAAAAAAAAACCATTAAATGGTGACAGTTATTTTTCTTGACTGTTTTTCTGCACCTGGTATTTGCACTGCTCATAGACCAATAGAAACTAAGGACTGACTGAGTGTTAGTCAAGTGACATGTTTTCCATCAAAAGTAATGTCACAGAGTTATATTTTATGTTTTTCCCTTGGATACTTAGAATCATATTTCATGTTATTCTCTAATTCATTAGAAAACAAAACAAAACAAAACCTAGTCTCAAACATACACCCCCCCCCGTCAGAGTACAGAAACCTAGTGCTCAAGAAAGTGCTTTACTGAATTACATGATATCATTTATTAAGCTTTACACAGTATACTATGTTTTTAATGTAACCCATCCCTCAAAGTGGCTCTAATAGAAAGCAAATAGTGGCATAACGGTTATCAAATAACTTTAAGTGCTAAAGGCCTGAAAGTGCGAACGTGTCAGTCAGTGACTCTGTTGCTGCTGGTTACATTAATGAAACAGAAGTGTAAAGGTCAAATGATACATTTCTATCTCCTAAATGCTAGAATGTCTGTTTTAGAGAAATGAATCAAGAAAAACAAAACTTTCCCTATGTGGTGTTATAATTACAAAAGGGAAATTCGTTCTGTAATCTGCTAACTATATCTATTATTTTGTAAATCATCTTCTCTGTTTAGCTTAGAGGACTTACAGTGAAATTCTATTTAATAATTTTAACATTCTTATCATTTTAACTTTGCCTTTTAAAGTGAGTGAAGCAATATATTAAACATCAAAATGTCCCTCACTTCTAATAATGTTATTCACTGATAAATCTCTGAAGGATTTACTTAAGCTATTTGGACCTTCTGAATAAGTAATTAATGATGCGTCTATATGAAATAGTGGTGTTTGGTACCTCCTTTACTTAAACTTTGGATTTACATAAATGCAGGGATGTCTAGAGTACATGGTAAGTTGCTATAAACACAAGTTAACTTTTTCATTAGCTTATTAAAGATCGACTTTGATTGGTACTATGTTTAATACGTATTAGTTTCATACATAAAATTTTTATGTTTGATACATAGAATACCTATGTCTAACAAAACTTGCTAATTTGTATATGGAGAAATCAACTTTTTCTCTAGTCTTCAAATTTCATTTTGTAGGACATGGAAGATAGGAGTTAATGTTTCATGAGGTGACACAGCGAAGAACAGGAGATGCTAGAACCACGTGGGTCACGCTTCAGAACCCAGTGTTTCTAGACCTGGAGAATCAAGCAGAGCATAACTCTGCTCTGGATCCATACATAAGTTTTACATGACTTTTATTAACGTAGTTTTGAAGTTACTTTAATGTGAATCTATTGCTTTATTTTCACCTTATTATCAAAACAGTTATGTTAACGTCCAGTATGTTTAGTATTCTTTATAAACAATACAAGGAGCATCCTCATTTATATCCTCCCAAAGCCTGAACATCTTTTAAAACACGTCATTTTCAAGCTAATTCTTTCAATCTGTTTCTACTTTAACTCTTCTGTGTGAATTTTGTACATTTTAAACTGTCTTCGTGATACGAATTCAAAATATCCTATTCTCTGCTTGTCCTGCTTTAATCAAAGAAAGGAAGAAAGATTCTTTTCTTAAATGTGATATCTTCTTTTGCCTTAGAAAAGATGAACACAACTCTGTCGTTTTAATGCAATAAATTTGAATGAAAGTTATATGAAATCTTAATATGATATTGTAATAAAGAGGAGAACTTTTGCTTAAAGTGGAGAACATAGGGTACATTTCCACAGAAGATACTTCCATGGGAAGCCACAAAACTTCTACAAGTAGATTTATAAATGGATATGACAAGTATTTATTACTTCTCAGCATTTTTGTCCAGTACATTTGCCCTTTGATTAGACTACCTTAATTAGCTTTGGTTGGAAATGCATGCTATTGGAAACAAAAAAGGAAATGATTTATGTATGGGAATGAAGAATTACCAATAGCAGTAGAAATCAATCACACTGTACTTTTGGAATTTCAGTGGAGAGTCTCACATTGTCTGTTGAGTCATTCCTACACACTGATACATCACATATTCCAAATATACTGTTTAATTAAATAAGGCATTTTCAATTGAGAACATTAAGGCATTATTTAAAAACCTATATGCTTATTAAATACTTTTAACATTCCGAGTTTTTTTCCTTCTTGAACAAAGAAGGGACACTAGATTGTCATACTGAGTCAATTTGGAAAAACGTGTTCCAGAATATGGAATAAAATGCTACGCTGTGAGCTGTAATGATTGGCAGAGCTGTTCTATTAGCCTTCATCCTTCTGCTGCAGGATGCTACTGAGATAGAGAGTGGAGCCGGTCCCGCAGGCTGCATTTCCCATTCAGCCATGTCAGCTGTCATCAGGCTATGGTTGCTCAATGGAAGGTTTGGGGAGAATGGAGGACATGATGAGTAAGAGTGTTTCTCCCTTCCTTCATGGATTTGGGTGTGACACTTATCCAGAGTGTCTCCATCTCCCACTGGAACCTCTTTCTTCCATCTTCCACGTAACTGGCTCTCGGGCTTCTGTTTACTGC